ACCAGGGAGTTGCTGACCTCCAACTGTGTACTGCACAGTGACACTGAACCATCGACCAGGTGCTGTTCACTACAGCTTTGCCCTCAGACTGAGAAGCATGGAAAAGATCATACATACACTTCTAACTAATGGAGTCACGTATTGGAGGCAGTGTCAGAGAGCACATGTGTTTGTCATTGGGACCACACCACCAGGGAAAGCACAAGTGATCCTTCACAGAAAACCACAGTCCCCAGCATATGCCTGGTGTTCACAGGAGGGCTCTGCCCACACAGCCCCACTGCCCAGCTACAGAGCTGATGGAGGAACATGGCCCATCCTCCTCTGGAAGCACATGCAGGCAGTAATGTGCTTTACATCACCAAGGAACAGCTATAACTGTGCCCAGGCCAAGGCTTGTGCTGATGCAGCTTTCAAGTACAGACTAACCTATTTACCTAGAGAACTAAACGCTTCTGTAGATTTAGGTCAAACAATTAATATTACTAATCTTTGTGATTTCCATCCTGAAATGCAGAAGATTTTCCAGTAAGAAGGAGTTTGGGGAGGGCAGGGAATAACCAGTGATGAAACTACTTTCAGGTAACAGAGGCAACCACATGTGCTGTGTGTGCGATCCTGGCGAAGGGAAAGTGCCTCATGCCCAGGAATTTCTGTGCAGGGACAAGTGATGGAGTTCCCAGCTTATGAAGCCCAGCAGAGACACCTGGACACAGCTCCCTGTCCCTGCAGCAATTCTCATATACCAGAAGCTTAAGCAGGAGAGGTTTTTATTTTCTCTCTACCCCACCAAGTTTTCCAGTGCCAAAGTTAGCCTTCACCCCAAGACTGTTGGCATGAGGCTGTCCACAGCAGCACCAGGGCACGTTTTCAGCTTATCAAAAGCAAGGAGGTTACTCTGTGAAGTCCATTATAGGGCACAGTCTCAGCTGTCCCTCAGAATGGGACAACTGTATCTATTTGTAAACAATGCCAGTTTGCTGAAATAGGTCCTCCCATGGGATTTCGTTCCACAAAGAATACTATTAACAGTTTCTGGCCCAATTTGCCTATGATGTAATTATTTCCAAGACTTTGAAAGGAACACTATATTTTGTTCAGAGCTGTTTCAGGCTCAGTTTCAAGAACTGTACAAAGCTCCATTATTCACTTCTAAACCAGAAAAAAAAAGGGGAAGATAGCCTAAAAGGTTTAACAGTTGATATTAACTTTATAAAGCTGGTCTAAACGAAAACTAAAGCAAACCACAAGGCAATACACACCACGAGACTTACAATTTATGGTTTTCCTGATCAGAGCCCATCTGCTCTTTCATTCATTCATTCTGAGAATTTCCACGTATCAGTGCATCACAACAAAGAATGTTCACTATCAAATAAGACTTCAGATTTTAAGTGTTTTGTACTGATTCACTCCAACCTGAACTTAGAGAAAACCTGTAAAGAATGGAGAGTCAACAGGACATATTCAGCTGAGAAAACTCAGGCTTACATTGCAGAGAAGTGTCAACAGCAGGATAGCCCTAGTTAGTCTATCCTGGGGGGAGTTTTCCTTTCATAAGTCCTTGGCCCTGCTAGTCTTGTTCTGCATAGGACAACTCCATCAAAAACCACCTTCTGTCTATTGGAAATTATTATGGCATATCCATACATTCAGTCAAACAGTCAAATTCTGGTGTTCTTGCTCTTTTTTCTTTAGGCTTTTCCGTTTTGTTTTTTTTTTTGGGTTGTTTGCTGGGTTTTTTTGGAGGGGAGTTGGTTGCATTTCTTTGGTTTTTTAATAACCCCACCAACTCCTGGCTTCCAGAAAAAAGTCTCTGCTACTTCATCCCTTTCATACACCTCTTGCTTATACAGACACCAGTCTCTCCACTCAAAGCACACATTGATTTCATAAGTTTTTGCGATGCCACCTGGCAGGCTCCCAGGCAACCTTGCTCCCTGTAATGCTGTCTCAGCACAATACACAAAGTGTTGATGCTTGCAATCTTCCCTGGAGAGAAACGGTCACTAAACTCCCAGTTCTTAGGTGCAAGATGAATTCCCAAGTCACTGACTCCATCTTGATCAAGCTGTTGATCAATCCATGCAGTACTTCAAGAAGTATATAGTCCTGTGAAGATCTCCTCCAAGAAGCCCTTGAAACACTCTCAGTAAGGCAAAAACACTCTCCACTTCCCACCTGTATCAGAACCACAAACTCTAGAACAACATTGAAGTAATACAGCCCATGCCCGAAGGATTGCAAAATCCACAGGGCTCTGACCGAAGGGGAGGGAGCAGTTCCAGAGTCTTTGGGCTAATATTCCCTAGCCCAAGCTCAGGGAGCCAGCACAGCATTGGTTTACACTCCTATCACAGTTTGGAGACTTTCCTGCTGCCCTGAGTGTTAGAACGTAAGTTTTTAAGAATCACAGCTGGGATTGCAGAATAATCCTGTGGTGCAGATGAGATCCTGGCAAATCCTGCATGCAGACCTGTAGAACACGGTGCCCTGGTTCTGAGTGCTGCAACAATACAGCTACCAGAGCACTGGACCATACCCCACCAGGGCTGAGAGAGCCACCCAAGCTGTCAGCAGGGACAGCCTATGCTCACCAGGAGGATGGAATGCACAATCACCAGGATTTTCCTCATCTCAGTGCTCAAGGACCCCATTAGTGCAACCAAAGCAGTGATGGTATCTTTTAAAAAAAAGAAATCTGTAAGATAACTGCAT